AATTTCTTTGTGAAACTGATCTCCTGAAATTTTCAGGAAGTAATCACTAATTAATTACATTTGTTGTATCAAAGAAAAATTTCCTAAGATGAATCTTAGAAAAAATTGATCATGATTGTTATTATTTTTCGGATAGAGTAAATATGGAATGCATTCTTCTGGAAATTGCAAACACTCATGGTCTTGATGATATAATACTCCAATTAAATTGATTGAAGCCGGAAAAATCATAAATAAATGAACTCATTCGACAAACCGCTAGCGGTTTATACCCCGAAAAATTGTATCACTCAATCCAATTATTTTCCCTCATCATGTGTCTACCATTTCATTCCGATGCCCAATCGACCGCAGGGGCTTTTTTTTTTCATCTGCTTTTTTTTTCTTGTTGAACCGTCGATTCTCAGATTGTTTCCACTGCGCACAGGTTGGCAATACGAATTCACCAATAATTATTTTCTTTTTACCTTCTGGCCCAGAAATCGCACAATGCGGTTCCACGTGCCATTATCAACAGAATAACAATTAATCAAGTGTGGAATTAAATAAATAGTGAAATCGTAGACTTTCTTGACGATATTTCGACAATGTCATCAGATGAGGGCATTAACCTCCCGTCAAACTGAAACTTTAAATTTAATTATAGATTTTTCATTTCTTAATTTAGAGTTTCGTTCCAGTGCCTGAATTTTCTTACATGAATTTTTTTTCGACTTGACAAATATCCGATGATTTTGAAGCTCTTGTGGTATTACAAATGAAAAATCGTGAATAGTGCAGTCTGTCCTTTAAATCGGCCTCTCTTGCGTAATTTTGCATTTAGAATGCATAATATAATTAGGTCGAGAACAAAAGGTACATTGAGGCACGCAAATCTCTTCACAGCTCCTGTAACCACTGGTGAATTTACATGAACCTCATTCATACAAGGAATTACTTGAAGTGAGAATTTCCTCACTGTGGCTGCAATTCTTTTTCACCTCGATGTAAAATCGTGAAACTAAGAACACGAAAATCTCGTTAAACCCATATCCGATGCACCTACTCAGCGAAAAGAAAGAATGGGAAAACCGTGTGTTTGTGACACAATGAAAAAGCTTCTTAGTTGAAACTATGGGTAAATACCATAAGTCGTAAAACATAAGCGGGAAACTTTGTTCGCGATATGTACCCGGTGGATGTCCGAGTTTCCATTGTTTGTAACTCGAGTTTCCTTGGTGCTTATGTACATGTCAGCCTCAGGTTCCTGGACCGTTTTTCCTCAGATCTTATCCAGTTAACCCACTCCAAATCCGTAATTCCAGTTCAGTGATGGTTAATCTGTCTTTTACCGGACATTTTTATTATCCGATACCGATGAAAAAATTTTCGGGGTAAAATCTGAGTGGAAATTGAGCGAAAAATCGACATTTCTTCTCGGCATTATGTAATTCCACTCCGATTTTCTGGTGAACGTCGGGGTGAATTTTATTGGAAATTTTTCTTCGTATGGTGTCGATTAATGTGCGCAGCGACCGGAAGTATTGCACGCGTATAATGCACACGGGTGTAAGTGAATCCTCACGTGAGTGAATGCACAGTATGACGGGGTGAAATTACGCTCTCATGAGCGTGTTTCAAGTCACCGGGCATTATAATCAATGAGTGAGCTATAATTGAGAACACGTAACACGCGGACAACTCGTGGAAACAAATAGGGTCGACCCCTCTTTCAATATCACTTATTGTCCACTCAATGTATCGCGGTAATGCAATCAATTTCGATGAATTGTCGTGCCCCGGGGGTCCAAGGAATGGAAACTTTTCAATGACTCCTCCAAGTCCTCCACTTTCCCTCCGGTCTTTTCCCCAATCCTCTTATTCCACTAGGTTCTATCAGTAAAACGACTCGATGTATCGATAACACTCAGAACTCCTCGACTCCCTGAAGACGGTTTCATCGAGATTTAAATGTTGTGATATCGAAAATCGATAGGTCTAGAATTTGAAAGAAAAAAAAATTGAGGCCTTGAATCTCATCATCATCTAGAACATGAGGAATCCTCTCAAGAAAAGATAAATATTTAACAAAAGCCCATATAATACCGATTGGTCATTTCATGGAGATACAAAACAGAATAGGAGCAGTTGAACACGTTCCACAAGCTAATCGGGTCCTGACCCTCAGACATAACAGTCCCTCGTTTCAATCTTGGCTTAACTTGCACAATTCGCCAAATACGGCATTTACTGGCCTCTGGTTTATGAGCCAATGTCGGATTCTACAAGCCAGCATCCTTCGCACGTACCTCGTTATCCACAACCAGCAAATGAAATAGGTAATAATACCATTTCAGAATTCAAATATCTTTATCGACCACGTAATCAGTCGTTAATAATTTAACAAGACATTATATTTATCATTAAACGAAATCCTCTTGTCTCTCCTTTTTTGCCGAACGACCGAAGGGAATCTGGTATTTCCAAGGTGGTCCTGCATTATTCATTGTATTCCACGATATTAAAAGTCCAGTCAATCAATATCAATCGTCCCTTGAAAATTAATTAAATAAGATTAATTAATTAATCCTCGAATTCCTCGAGGCATTGAACTTTCCACGCATAATTAATCGAGTTCACTTGAGGGTGCGGCTACTCATCGACTTCGTACCTCTTGTTGAGGGAGAAAACCAGGGACAGAATTATGCCTTAGTGGATAGGTTCCACCAGGTACAGCAAACTTTATTAACCACTTGGAACTCATCTGATTCGAGGGGTTACCGTCATTATGTCTAGACGCACAGTCCAAGACACTCAGACCCTCTGCATTATGCCAATGCTAATTTTCTCTTGTCCACTAGAAAAATTCAAAGGAAATTATGTCTGCATCCCTAACTTTGATCAGTTCAATCGATGCAGGTTAATTAATTAGGGATAGAACAGTTTGTCGTAGATTTTACGTGATTTTTGTGGTAATTATGTATTTGGCAATATGAAAATTCATTCTGTTGGTTCTGCTGACGTTTTAATATCCAATCGTTTTTTCTGCTTTCTTTATACCTTTTGAGACTGGGGACCTTTCATTGTTCAAGGAACGGAGGAGCCATTCCCCCTTGAAGATTTGGAATGGGAAAATTTCAATTCTTTGGAACCTTGGAGGATCATTGGAGGGTGAAACCTCGGGATTCAGCGGAATTGGGAGATTTATTCGTTAGGACAGGGTGAAGAATTCATCGGCTTCAAGGCAACTCTCAAAGACTCTTCCATCTTGATGAATAGTTTTTTATTCTCGGAGCAACAACTAGCTCAATTTCTCAATTCCTTTTGCATATATCTGGGGAGCTTGGAGGATTTTGGAGACAGCTAGCAAAATTTACGAATCAATAATAATCCTCTGTTCTTTTTCTAGTCTGGGATGTGGTAAATTGGTAGTTGATGAAAGTACGAGGCAGGACTGATTAACGATTAATATTTATACAACCAGGATGAAACTGTTCAGACGTTACTGAGAGCCAGTGAAGTAATAATACTGGTGTAACCTGCCGAGTCTCTTTATAGTCATTAGGGAAATCAAGGGAGTGCTTGTGGCATTGCGCGTCAATTTGCCCCACACCTTATCATATACATCTCCAAGTGCTGTATATATGTACTCGAATGCACTGTACCTGCCAATTCGTTCTGGTAAACAGTCAGCATTTCCCTCGGACACGCTGTTCAAAATTCAGTAATTACCTCGAGTGTTGCAACCGGCACTTTTCCCTCTCCGCAATTCCATAAATTCCATTCACTCCACACGACAAAAATTCATTCTCAAAAGTCCCAAATTGTTAAAAAATTTTCTCCCTCAATTTTCCCCCCAAAAAAACCATTTTTTACCGCAGCATCACCTAAAAAAAGTTGTAGTAATGCCGGATTAGCGTAAAAATTACATTTTTTTGGTAGAAATTGTAAGAGAATGTGAAATCCGGATTATTCCACGTCTATTTTTTATCAAATAACGAAGAAAATCCTCCGAGCCCAGTATAAAAAGTGAGAGAAGGAATGGAAATCGTAAAAAGTCGAAAGTTGTGGGAGGACAGGAAGCGCCAAAGATTACCGAGTGGATGTAGGGTAGACTTGCTATCTACATCTCCGCTTCTCATTAGCGAAACTGGTTTATCATCCTTCCATACAACCCCTATCCACCATCGTAATTTTGGCTTCCCTCCCACTTCTTGCGCCCTCGGCAGATAATTCCACGTGTGCCCCTCGCAACTGTGAAATTCGTCTAGTCCCCACGATTATTACAGATATTCATCGCTTTAAAGGATCGATTATCAAAATTCTTGCCGATAATCTGCAGTCTCATCTGGAAGACCTGTCCGCGCAGACAAAATAAAATTTCTCTCAATAATTATCTATTCTTTCTAAACAGACCGAGAAAATTGTAGTTCTTATTTTATTCAACACCAATTGAACTCAGTGGATATTGATTTCAAAATTAAAGGCCGGATGGAGTATCTCGGAAAGATAATTTACTCCAAAATTGGGATTCCTAATTACTCCGCCAATTATTGAAAAAAAAACCATTAATTGCCAGAGTAATTAGGAATCCCAATTTTGGAGTAAATTATCTTTTCCAGATAATCCAACCGGTCCTTAAGAAAGATTTCCAATTTGATTCTTATCACTTTATCACTTCCCTAATGAATATTTTCAATTTCACCATGCTGAGGTCAGAGTAGAAATGGTTTAATGGGAAAATAATTAATTGAGAAAGTACGAGGTCTCGAAAAATGTGCGATAAAATAAATGCACCTGAATTATCGATACCTCAGATTCGAATAGCCCTGGCTGTCCCCAGAGTAGAATTTCAGTGTCTGCAGACCGAGCTCAACACCAAATATCTTTCCAATACACGGTTCTATATACGATTTGATCCCACCATAACTCCGGATGAAGCTACAAGTCCCCAGTAAAATATTTCCCAGTGGCATTACCATCCATCCGATAATACCGTTTTATTTTCCCGTGTGTTACAGAAAAATTCCCCAGCGAGAATGCAGTGCCAAAAATCCAGCAGGATGTCAAGTACGAGGCGATGAGAGAACTGAATGGAGGCCGAGGAAACTGCAGAGCCCCCTGGGGCTCAGAGCACCGTGCCCCAGACATCACATATTTTTCTTAGTGCAACCGAGAACAAAAACGCCAAATTAAACTCTTCTTGTCAGTTTTTTCATTCAACCGGCAAGAACGAATTTATTTGAAAAGATTCGAGAATGAGACGTGTCAGTCACTCAATTATTCCACAGCTGAATAAATTAATAGAGAATTTGTAGAGAGATCCGAGGGATAATTATTATCAGAGAATCATGGCAGCACCAGTGATCGAGAAGAAGCGATTCTTCTGTAGAGAGTGGGCATTTATGAAACTTTCCCACTGCCTGGAGCAGCGTCCAGCCTCGAAAACGTGTGGTGCCCTGATTGTCGGTGGTCCAGGAAGTGGTAAAACAGCTCTGTGCGCTGAACTCGCCTGGCCATCGACATCAGCGAGTTCAAGACACCAGAGATCCCTGAACAGAAGATTATTGGCAAGACACTTTTGTCAAGCGAGAAGCGAAGCCTCTCTGTCACCAGCTCAATTCGTCAGATCATTAGTTGCCCAAATTTTACAAGCAAGCACTGATGGAATTCACTTGTCGTCACCCACATCACCACCAGCGAGTACAATATCTGCGCCATCCTCATCGAAGGAGGCAGTGGCCGAGGCTTATGCTGAAAAACTCAGGACTGATCCGGACATTCATGCGGCTCTTCAGCATGACGTATTGGACAGGGATCCAGACGATGCCCTGAAAAAAGCCCTCCTCTTTCCTCTACTGGAGGTAGAACCGCCTAAGAACTGTCTCTTTCTACTCGTCGATTCAATAGACGAGGGACAAATACTTAATCCACCGCAAACTGGTACCAGAGATTCACGACGTGAGAATGACAACGTAAGCAGAACAATAGCCGAATTACTCGCTAATCATCATCATCTCTTTCCCCAATGGCTGCTGCTCGTATGTACAGCTAGACGGCAGAGTAAAACGATTTCCAGGATGTTTACGGGATTTCGTAAAATATCACTGGATGATTTGAGAAAGAGTCAAGTTGTACGTGATGTACAGCAGTACATTCTTGCGAGACTCGATGAGGAAGTCGCACTGAGACAGCACATCTCGAGGGACACAGCGGAGATGCTGAATCAGTTGCACATAAAGAGTAACGGTTGCTTTCTTTATCTGGAAAAAGTGCTGGATGGTGTAGCTGAAAATTTCATTGTTCTGAGAGAAGTCAGAGAAATACCTGGCACTTTAAATGGACTTTATCTGTGGCTGTGCCAGAGATTATTCAGTAGAAAACAATTTGCCAAAGTTCAGCCTCTGCTCAATGTCATATTGGCTGCTAAATTGCCCATTACTCAGGAGATACTTTACAAGTGCGTGAAGACAGCCCACTCGACCATTACTATTGAAGATTTCAATCGAAGACTTCACCTGCTGAGGCGAGTTATTTCTGTGTCACGGGCTGGTGCACTTATGCTCTTTCATCATAGCTTTGCAGAATGGCTTTTGGATGTCAAGCATTGTACGCAGAAATATCTTTGCTCGGCAGCTGAGGGACATGCCATGTTGGCTGGCCACTATACGTTAAGAGGCCCTGAACTTACACCCGATGAGATCTGTGTGTTGGGACAACATTTGCAGAGATCACTTACTAATGTCGGGGGCAATCTGTGCAACCTTGATCCTCACACTCTTCAGACACTCTGGATGATTGGGAGTAGAGTACCCATCGAGGACTGCTATCTGGACAGCCCTGAGTGCCTGATGTGGCCCAGACAGGACTTCAAATTGTTAAGGCTGCTTATCGATGCCGGGGCCAAACCATCCGAGAAAGTTGTCGAGGATGAGCCATCTAAGGACCCTGTTTCTTCTAGTCAGGTGAATTTTTCAATAATTTCCAAACGAAATTCTCTAAATCCATTATCTCAAGTGACTCACCACCCTTTCTCTCTCCTTTGATGAATTCATCACTCTTCACCATAAAAATCTACAAAGACTTTCAACTTTCTCACAAAATCTGACTAAACCATCGAAACGTATTTATGACGTGAAACTTTGAATAATGAATTTCATCGGAATAGAAAGTAACGAATCGAAAGCATGCGAAAAATGGCCACAATTGCAATTGATTTTGTTCCGTTCCCCTCCGGTTTCCATAAATTGCCCTCCCCAAGGAAAACCTCGATAACAAGAAATATCTATTCACGATATCTGTTCTCAGGTCTCGCAGGACGTGAGCCCCATAGATGAATCCCCTGGAGAGCCTCTGACTGAATTACTCGGTGAAAGTGGAGACATAAACCAGGCAGACTCCTGTGGACGTACAGTACTTCATACTCTGGCAGCCGACGGTAATGCATCGCTCCTAGAACTTGCTCTGGCTGCTTGTCCTCAGGTAGAAAGTTCATTTGGTGTTTTCAAGAGAAAAAAATGCATTTCGAGTGAATCATTTCCGGGAAATTTTACATAAATTTTTTTTTTCTCTACTCTTCCGTCCACGTACCTCAGGCAAAGCTAGAGGCAACAGACCGTCACGGCCAGACACCTTTGAATCTAGCAGCGAGACACGGATATACTGACGTTGTGAGAGTACTACTTGCTGCAGGAGCCAGTGCAGACCATGCAGATTGCGACGGTTGGACAGCACTGAGAGCAGCAGCCTGGGGCGGACATACCCAGGTACATTCACAGCCAACCATTCCTCCAACAAAAACAGACTCCAATGTAGTTAGTGTGATTATTATTTTTTTTCTTCATTTATTCTCTCATTAACACGTTTTATTTATTATTTCTCTCACTAATTACCCGTTCTTATCCTGTACTCGTAATTAGTTCAGGCCTTTCGGGGGGCAATCATATATCGTTGATAAACCATGTGCCCATGACATTTTTTTTAATTAACGATTTATCGTAATTTTCTATTAAAATCAATTAGTTATATAAAAAATATTTTAATCGACGACGGTGGCCGGAGTTGGTAAAATATTCTCGGTTCGGGTTAGGCTTGGGACATGTAAAAATCAGAATAGGGCATAAGTTGGCGGATTAAATAATGAAATTTAAGAAAAATGCAGAAACAAAATATATATATTTGACTAATGGGAGAGTACAGAATTGACTCATGCTTATTCACTGGTGATTATCGATCATCAAAACCCGTATAAAACGTGACAATTAATTCCATCTGAAGGTCGTTGAAATGTTACTGGAGTACGGGGCAATGGTTGACTGCGCTGATTGGGATCAGAGGACAGCACTTCGTGCTGCTGCATGGGGTGGTCACGAGGACATTGTCAAGGCGTTACTTCAACACGGCGCTGATGTCAATAGAACAGACGATGAGGGTAGAACCGCACTGATAGCCGCAGCTTACATGGGCCACAGTGAAATTGTTGAGCATCTGTTGGACTTTGGTGCCAAGATCGATCATGCTGACAGCGATGGGAGAACTGCCCTCAGCGTCGCCGCACTCTGTGTACCATCCAACCACGGTTATGCAAAGGTCAGTGAAAATCAACCAGCCAAGTCTAAATGAGTACGCCTTCAACTGCTTTAACTACATCTTTGACATCATGCATTTGCGGTAACGCAAACGAGTGATGCGGGTTTAGCAAACGGTTCTGGACTCTCCGCAAATATCGGAGATTTCTTTTATGAGAAAATCCTCTCTAATCCGTAAAAATATGTGAATTTTTCAGAACTTTGCATACTTCAACTTTAATCAGCAAAAGTTTCTCGGCAACTTTCAGCCTAATTCCATAAACAAATAGTGAGAATTGTATAAATTCTCTGAACTCAACCGCCAGTTAGTTATGATTTTATATCTGTCTATATAATTTAAAAAAATAAGGGGAACAATTCAGGATCCGCTAAAATTCAATTGCCTCGATGTCGGCCGACCAGCAGTTATCGGTCAATAATGTTGTGAATAAATGGAGGAATTAAGGAGAAATTGATCTCTTCCAGGTGGTTACGATATTACTGGAGAGAGGGGCTGCGGTAGATCATCAGGACAAGGACGGTATGACACCACTGTTGGTGGCGGCTTTCGAAGGTCACCGGGATGTTTGTGAATTACTCCTGGAGTACGAGGCGGATGTTGATCATTGTGACGCGACAGGAAGAACACCACTGTGGGCAGCAGCTAGTATGGGTCATGGGTCTGTCGTTGCACTGCTATTGTTCTGGGGCTGTTATGTCGACAGTATAGATAATGAAGGAAGAACGGTGTTAAGTGTGGCTGCAGCTCAAGGGGGCACTGACGTTGTGAAACAGCTGCTCGATAGAGGCAAGGTTTTATTCACTGTAATTCACCCATTAATTAAAATGACATCATTACGTTTTTTTACCCCCGAGGAACAATGAAAAGTTTAGTAATGAGGAGAGAGACAATGGATTTTTCATTTTAATGATAGGATCATTTTCAAGAGAGTGGAAATTGTTTTAAAAATGTTCAACTGTTATTGTTTTTAAAACAGGTCTCGATGAACAGCACAGAGATAATTCCGGCTGGACTCCTTTGCATTATGCGGCATTCGAGGGACATTTGGATGTGTGCGAGGCGTTACTGGAGGCTGGTGCCAAAGTTGATGACGTTGATAACGATGGAAAGGGGGCATTAATGCTGGCTGCCCAAGAGGGGCACACAGCTCTCGTTGAGAGACTCTTGGTACAGCACGGAGCGCCCATCGATCAGCATGCACACGACGGCAAAACCGCTTTGAGGTACTTTCAAACGTTGATAAGAGATGAGTTTACAGAATATGAAAGTAAATACTTCTGGTAATTAAGAAAGATCTAAAGTCCTCATTGCTAGAATGAGTTGTCATAATAAAACAATGAATCTGTTGTATTGTAAACTAAGTTGTAGTTATTGGTAATCATGATCGCATAATTATCCCACGAAGGAGTTTTCTGTGGCCGTTGAGGTGGTTAAGAAAATACATAGTGATAATAAATAGTAATCTCATAAGAATATTCCCGTCATCTACGAATTGTCCTAAATCCACTGTCTCATTTAGACTTGCTGCACTTGAAGGCCACTACGAGACAGTTCGAGTGCTATTGGCTCACAGTGCAGACATTAATGCCAAGGATGCAGACGGTAGAAGTACACTTTACATTCTGGCACTGGAAAATCGCCTGGCAATGGCAAAATTTCTGCTGGAGCATGCGCACGCGGACGTTGAGAGTCGTGACTCGGAGGGTAGAACACCACTGCACGTGTCAGCCTGGCAGGGTCACGACGAAATGGTAGCACTGCTGCTGACAGGCGGTACAGCTAGTGTCAATGCCTGTGACAATGAGAACAGAACGCCTCTGCACTCAGCTGCATGGCAGGGACACGCTGCAATCGTAAGAATTCTTCTGGAGCACGGAGCTACACCAGATCATACGTGCAATCAGGGAGCGACAGCCCTGGGTATAGCTGCACAGGAGGGTCACGAGCACTGTGTCAGAGCCCTCCTGAATCATGGAGCAGATCCCAGTCATTCAGATCACTGCGGCAGAAATGCCATTAAAGTTGCTGCTAAGAGTGGTCATGATACCGTTGTCAGACTACTCGAGGAGCACTCAGCTAATCAAAGAAGCATCAGACCTGGTATTAACGGAGGTGGCAGCAGTTCTGCAACTTCTGTAACTTCAAATTCAACAGCTGAAACAAAACCCTCATCAGCTATTCTCAATCCACTCTCAACACAGTACAGTCCCGCTGAGTCACCAGACTCAACCAAGAGACGTAGCTGTGTGTCTCTGGGAAATAACTCGAGCAATAGCAAATCCAGTAGTAATTTGACGGGCTCCACTAAGAGTGATCAGGGCAAATTCAGTCAAAATCCTATGGTGAATCAGGTGATCAAAGCACCTCTGTCCTTTACCCAACAGTTGCAGCAGTGCTCGAGAGGTGTAAAAAGCCGACCGCTCAGCAAACTCCTGTCACCATTGAAAAGCGAACCACAATCTCCCATTTATGCTTCACCGCCACATTCACCACTCAGCGACAGTCTCATTCCGTATTCACCTACGAATACTAGTCCACCAAGTGCACAGACTGCTGCCAGTGTTATTCAGAGCCAATTGGGGGTCTCATTGCTTACTGGCAATCAGAGTATTCAGTATAAACCACAGAGTGGGGGTTTTCACAATACTGGGGCTATTTATGAACCGATTGATATTAAAACTGAGTTCATTGATAAGAATGATGGGTCCAAGCCGTTTGAACTTACTAATGAGATGTTGGGGCTCAAAATCAAGGATAAGAAGAATGGGCATGATGATAAGAGGAACTCAGCTGATACACATTTTACGAGGGATACGCATATGAGAATTATTTTGGGAAATTCCGGGGCTGGGGTAGGACGCAACGTTAAACATACGTCTGATCATGTTACATCGAGGTGAGTAAAAAATCGAGGTACAGAAAAAATTGAAGAAATCCATTCGTTTAAATACTCATATAAATTGCATGTTCCAGTGGCCATTCGAAACCCAAACGAAATGGTTTGGTGACAAATCCGGCAATGAGGCTTGTCGCTGGAGTTCGAAATGGATTTGAAAATGCAACAAATCGAAACAAACCAATAACAACACGAGTCAATGGATTCCAGTGGAAAGCTGAGACGCGCAAGGAAACACCTCTCTAAACAAACATGTCGATGGAACGAAAAAAATCCATTACAATAATTCGATACCACAGAGTTAGTGGCAGAAGGATGAAAGTCAATAAATGATTAATTAGTTGTTTTCATTTGAGCGAAATCAAATTGCCTCGATAGCACAGTGGACGCGAAACCGACAAATGTATGTATTTGACAAAACCGTACTGATGATTACGAAGAAAAGAAATATTATAAACTCAATACCAAATATTAAACGGCATAGGAAATGTATGTAGAGTTATAGTGACGTAAATTAATCGAAATAACTTTGTATAAATGTAACGTTAATAAAAAATTCTTAATCGATCTCACTAATACCTATTATATTATAAAGATAATGTTTTGATTGAGGACAATTTTTTAGCATCATGGATGACAAAAACTAAAAGAGGAGAAATAATTGAGATTGAGCCCTGGAAGACTGGTCGAATTAATGAAGAGCGTGTGGTGATCACACTAACGATTTAAATTAAACGTATTGACAACTGTAAAGATATGTACAAAGTTTGAAAGAGTAGTGACGAGGCGACTGAGATGTGTTGACTTCTAGAGAGACATGATTAAACCGAACGAATGCTGCAGAATACGTAAAATAATGGCCTCTAACTCGTGAATGAGCCTGTGTAAATATATGATTTATGTACTGGACATGATCATATTTATTATTAGACTGTAGTAGGTGATATAGTGATAATGAATGATGAGAATGAAATAAATTAAACTATTGATTCTACATGTAATGGATTTGCTTTATCAACTTGTGTTTCAATAAAATATGTTCCCATCGGAGGCCCATGCAGACTATTTCATAAATATTCAATAGAATCGCTTTATTAATTGGTAAGTCATTATTTCAAAGCAGCGGATAAGTGAATACTCTCCACCGATTTTAGTAAATTATTCAAAATAAATGGAATGTTTTTTTCATTTTTTTTTTGACATTACTCCCCACAACGACCGCTGTCCTCCCAATAATTAATTTCACTGCGACATGTGTTCTCGGAGCACCTGCCCATACACTCGTCAAGTCCTTTTCCATCGGTTTTAATAATCACTAAAAAAATATTAACGAATATGGAATTATTCTCCGAAACATCAATCGTTTTTTGATCCGAACATTTTCATGATATTAAAACTCCCGCTTTGCCCAACAACAATGACAATAATATAATCATTGTATTTATTATATTAGCGAAGTACTAAAATATTACTGGATTAATTCCCATAATCATTTGCCGCTGCAAATGAAAATGAGATTCATAACGGTCTGAGAGAAAAAAACGTGGCAATAGTGTATCTTCCATCTCTTTTGAGCGCTTTCCTCGTTCTATAATTTATTTTGACCATTTTTCACTCAACCATCCGTGGGTTTCATGGTGAGAATATACTCGTCGGTCTGCTAGACATAGTTGGGCTCTAGAGCTGTCCAGACCTGTCTCATTCGACCGCACAGGCAGTCCCGTGAAGGAGCAACAACATCGCTGAACGCCAATTCATTCATTCAGTCGAGTTGTACCGAGTAAGTGCCAACAGATCAATAATAAAGAAGTGAAGAGAAAAACAATCGATGAAATCATTGTTAAAAATTGTTCGAATAAATTCCACTGGCGGATACTCAATGATTTTTTATTTCAGGCTCACGGGAGCATGTTTCAGCTGGTGATGCTTAGAGGGATGTGCTTTTTCTTGGGATTCCTCTTGCTGAATACCTCCTCCGTTGATGGTCATCCCTCTGGTGAGAGATACTGTGCTAGGAGATTGGTGGAAATTTTGGAGGTCGTTTGTGCTGGACGAGGATTCAATGGTCCCATGGATGAGCCTGATCCAGATAATGTACCCAGCAATCGTCAGTCTAGTAAGGGAATTATTGAGGAGTGCTGCACAGCCCCCTGTACCTGGAACGATTTGGAAACCTACTGCCGACCTAAGAGGAAAATGGATAGACTGGTCCACAAATGTGAGTAATTTTTGTTTATTAGAAATGAGGAAAATTGATTGAATTTTACGAGGAAGTATGAATATTCGTACATTTACTATTCTTACTGGGTTTTTTCGTGACCTTCAATTTCACTCGCGCATTATAGGACTTTCACGGGAAGCGCCAAAGTGCGTGGAAAGGAATTCTCGAGAAAGTTTCCATTCATTTCCTTCATTTATCGGTATTCAATATATCAATATATTATTTAGAAACGAAAGAAAGACATTCACATGCGAAATTGTGTAGAATAAAATGGGGTGAATTCGTTCTGGAATATTCTTATTACCAAGAGGAGAATAATACAGGGTATAATTGCGTAAAGTTACGTAAGAAAATAATTAAATAATTCAGTAATTAAAAATTACATAATGTTGGCGAGGAGTGAGTTATATAATTTTTACACTGTTCGCAGTAATTTGAAGGAATAAATGAAGGCAAATCGTGAATACTGTACGAGAGACTGACACCGAATTTAATTATGCAAAAGTTCGGCTAATGTGTAATTGTTTTTCGACAAATTGATCTCGCTATTTTGAAAATACATTTCGAAAAACAACGGTTAAAGTTTCGTAACTCCAATAGACGCGTCAGAGTATTCAGATTTATCGCACCGGTTATTTTGAGAAATTAAAAAGCTGCGGTAGATAAGAGGAATTTCAGAATACCCGCAGATCTACATCTACCTCCAGGCCGTGAAATTCCTCTTGCGTAGAATTTTTTCCTCAAATTTGTGCTTGTTTTGATGGATTTTATACGGTGCCTTCAGTTGGTCCCGTTTTAAAATTTTTCGAATCCATTACACACCTTATTTACTTAGTGCTCTTTAACCCAGAATTCTCGAATTAATTTCAAGTTGTACTAACATATGTTTTCAATAGAAAGACCAGAAATTTCCTTCCAATTTTTAAAACGGACTATTGTCTGGATGTTTTTAAAACCGGTCCTAAAGAATTTATCGTATTTAACTTGTCGACTCTCTTTGGCAAAATAGAATTTATTTTTTCTCCATCTCAGCTGTTTTTGTTTGTATATATTTTACCTAAAGTCCCTCCCTCCTACTGTTTCTATACCCCTAAAGATCCAGGTAGTCAAGGTTCGAATTCCGAATGTTTTCATTCTATTTTTTCTCTCATTCTTTCGCCTTGGAATGAAGGTAAAAATATTAAAAATCTACATAAACTCCAGGGATAAATACCCCAGGCGGTCCAGACCCCCCCTCCGGGACCCTCACCCCCACCGACATTCATGGGGCATCGATTTACCTAAACAGCTGTTTCTAGACAGTTGGACTATTTTTAAAACCATCAAATTTAGAAACAAAACATCAATCACGCTTTCTTAATTTTCTAAAAATAACTCGACTACATCCATTTTTAAATTTTTCTCCTTCGTTTTTTATTTCAGGAGTGGAAATTGAAACGACAGGTGATCTCGGAATTGGCTGTGTTAGATGATATCTTTGGCTAGTGTATTTTAACGTTATTGTAACAAGTACAATGCTTTTTATATATAAAAATTATCTTTACATACACTGAGTGAAATTCACGTACATATTACACTGTGCCAATAATAGTATTATTACGATTAATTAGAAGGAATTTTGATGATTAATAAAAAAGAAATTGTTCCCCCTGAAAATTTATTTCACTTATTTCAGTCATTTTTCTCATTTATTCTTCAATTTACATTCCCTTTAAATTCATTTCTACCGCTAAATAATTTATTCTTCATTTACCAACGGTTGAGTATTATTGTCATTCTATCTAATGGTACAGCAAATTGCCTTATCGATTGGTCAGGTCGAGAGCAGATGGTATCGTCACAAGGTAAAGCTGATTGGAAAAGGAAAGACCTAGGTGTGACCTGAAAAAATTTAGCACCAACCCGACGACAGAGATGGCGCAATAATCTTTACTTTGGGGAAAATAAGTCAGGGCCAAGAAGTTGGAATTCCTGACATGTACTAAACGTGTAGGTATATAACAGATCTGTGTTCCGCGGGTATGTACCCGATTTTTTTGCAAATTTCCAGGAGATGTATCGAAGGAGTGTAAGAATCGAATGGAAAAGGAAAGAAATGAAGCTGAACGTTTCTGTTCGAGTTTTGCTGTGAATTCGGGCGAGTTGGGGGCGTGGCAGGCCCTAGAATTAGGGCCGAAAACATGGACGAGTACAAATAGATTTGTGAGCCCCATCTACACGTCCTATTTTCTTCAAGTTCCCAAGAAATATGCCCGAGGAATGTAAGAATTGAATGGAAGAGAAAAAAATTAGAATTTTTTTTTTCCGGTCGGGATCGGACGATTGCAATGCTTCCATTCGGAAGCAAAAAGGGGTGCCAAACTTTTCTCATCGAGATTTTCCGTTAATTCAGGCGAGTTGGGGGTCGAACCGCAAGCAGAGTCGCCTAAATCGATTTAAATCGATTTGCGACTTCTTTTTTTTAATTTACCCACGTAATTCGCAATTACACCAATTAATTTTGTACCGGTTTTAAGTTTAAAATATCATCACAACTGTCGACTCATTGTCGGCAGATTTTCTATCTATAATATTTTTATTTTTTTTTGATTTGCGACTTCTTTTTTCTAATTTACCCACGTAATTCGCAATTACACCAATTAATTTTGTACCGGTTTTAAGTTTAAAATATCATCACAACTGTTGACTCATTGTCGGCAGATTTTCTATCTATAATATTTTTATTGTACAATGACATCAGTATCGAGAATGATTTCGAAATACTTCAGGAGTCATTAACATAAAATGTGAGCTGACCTTGCAGACATTCGTTGCTCGACATTCCAAAAAATTGCACTCACTCTAACGTATAAGATACAATCGAAAGCAATTCCGAATTTCCATTGACAAGATGTCTTACGATTTCCATAGTAAAACATTGAATTGCAACACGTAGAATTAATCGGAGATAATGGAGATCGGTAGCCCAATTGGACGCAGAGCATCAGAATCTGAAGATGGTGAATTTATATCCCATCTGGGCATCGGCAATTTTTTTCCAAATTTCGTTCCATTGCGAAATCATTCTTTCTTCCATGGCCCTTAACATTCGTCGATGAAGTCCATAAAGTTCGAGTAAATTCTTTATACTTTTCAATGAATTTTTCCCCAGCGTGCAGCACAGTTATCACATGTTGACCAATGAAAATTGTCGGTGAGTCACCCTTACACGCGTGGAGTTATTGCAATGGGGGCTCGTAGTAGAAGAAAAATAATGTGCAGTACTGGTATGACACGTTCAACAGCCTGTAGTAGAGGGGAAATCGGACCCCAGGAGAACGCCGTTGAATACACGCATATTAGTGAGCGATGACTTAAACCGTCGCCGAGACGCAGAAGTGTTTTACGTTTCAGTTGAGTCCCGATACTCGCTTGAGTAACACCTGAAAAACTTGTGATTCCCCTCATTCACAATTAATTAAACAGTGGATGAGTCGAATCATCGAGTTGAAACAATTATTCATCAAATTAAACAGTGGTATCTCGAGACGTGAACCTGTTGATACTTTGTGCACCGGCTGCTGGAGAAAGTTGATCTCTTGACGTACAAATAAACGTGAGATATCTTGAATTGTTTCTCAATGATTATTACCATTAAACACCCGAGTTATAATTTTTTTTTAATTACACTGAGTGAAATTGCGCTGGTGCCACTCAATCACTGTTTGTCTTTTCGCTGTGGTAATGCAGTATTCAAATTTTTTATGTACTCCTCAATGCAATTATTGAGATGGCATGAATGACTAACTGTTCAGCAGGCTGTACATTATATTTTTGTACGTTAGCATTCCATTAGATTGAGTCATTACTGAGATTTCTTTAGAAGCTGCAGCGTATTTTTTCCGAGATGAGAAAAAATTCAGAATTTATGTTCCATGTGTCGCGGAAAAATTTTGATACGTAATACATACCTTGAGTCATTTTCCTGATATTTTTTTCACTGAGTGGACTTTTCATTTACTTTAACTTTTTTCCCGCGCGAATCCACCGCGGGAGCGTCTCGTTGAATCCCGAAATGTTCCGATGCCCCACCCGAAAGTAGGCCGATAAAATAGACTAAGAAAAAATATTCCACACACCCAAATAAAATTTAAAAAAACGATTTGAATAAGGCCCCGTCAGACCCAATTGGTATTTACTCTCCTGGCACGGTAAAATTTTATTAAAAATTCTAACGAATTGGTTAGAAGTCATTTTTTGAATTCGGTATGAACATTCTAAATAATTTTTTACTTATTCTGGAGAAATGCTTAACAGAACAAATCGATAAAATTAGATTTTTCTATATAAATTGAGCATACATAATTTTTGTTAGATTCACATCCGAAAAATCGGGGCAAACCGAGAGAATTTTCACCTTTAACAGGTATTTCCGTTCGTTTCATTACTATTTTCCCTTTTTTATTGGACTCCGCGTTCAATCATGATAAATGATTGAGGAAAAATCATGTGCATTTTTCCAGTGAGTGTTTACCATGGCGTAATCAATAGACCGGCGTAGGCCTGACTAATTCGTTGGTTTATGAAGGGAGAAAAAAGAACGACCAGCTCATGAATGTATTATTTGATTTTTCATTGTGCACACGACATGCACACTATCCTGTTGTTTTTTTCCACAATATTTCGTCCTGCGGTGGATCGATGGAAGTTCTTCCAGGGGTTTCTAAATATAGATAGACGTGAACATGCAATTGTGGAACCGGAGGATAATTTAACGAGTGAGAAAACTGGAGAAACGTGAAGGAAAACAAAATCATTATTTGTTTTTTCCGTGTTTTCATTGGGAATATTGATTATCCTCGGAATTTCTTTCCTCGCTGGTGTTGGCACAAGATTTTCAAAGAACGGTTTTGCAATTTTCTTGCAAATTCTGTAATTATTTCTGTTGTATTAATTATGGTAATTAATCAAAACAGAATTGAATAAATATAGAGTGAATAAAAATTTTTCTAGAGAGGAGTAGCTCGACCTGTTAGGTTGATAGAGATGAATATTTCGGGTGCCTGCGATTGCTAATGAATCTTTGAGGATTTTTATTCAATTGTTAGCTCTCGGCACAGGTGATATCATGGAGAGTGCATTGATTTTATTTGGAAAATTATTTCATCTCACTGGGACGAGTTTCATCGTAATGCCGAGAGTAAAAACCTGATGACCTCGACTCAGTAACTTTCGTATTCGAAAAGGCACGAGAGGTGGAAGAGGTGGTGTCCCTTGTTTGCACGTTCTCCCCTCCATTTTCCATCTCTTTTTTATCAACTCATGTGTATTGTGAGGCTTTTTCTTGTTGGCCTATCGTGAGATATTCGTTTTTACAACATTCGAGACTTCGATAGCGTCCGGGGGCTCGACACTATGGAATTCAGCGTGTAGGAAGATAGGGTCCATGGGAAAGTTTAATTATTACGGTAGGGAATTCATTGTTATTAAGCCGGAATTTTTAAGACCAAAGGTTGAGAATTTACAGTGGAGAACAATGATTAATGAGAGGGAAAAATTTCTCCGGCGAATTTCTAATATTCGTATGATTTATCATCATCATCGTAGTTGCAAACTTTAGAAGCGTTATTTTATATTTATTACTGATTTTTTTACAACATTTAATCGTTGAATAATTAAATGAAGAGAGATCTTGAAGAATTCCGACACGCCTAAAAATATACAGTATAAATATTTTCATAAAAAATATGGCATTGTTATTCCCTTTTTTCGTTTTTGAAAGGTCAATTTTTGACGAGACCACAAAAAAGAGACAGCTGTCGGGTTTTCCCATTTGAAAAATTGAAGTAATGATAAACATAATGCATGGTCTACTGATTTCGTAATATGTAGGCAGGGGGAACACGCCTGTTGTTACGAAAAAAAAAAATGTTGAGTGAGAATGAAACTAAAAAGCAGGTGGCACTGTGCCCCAAATATTAACTGGTTATGTACATCACTACTGGCGATTGCTATCGAATACGGTGTCCGGTACAATGTGATTGTGTGGGAAGAGTAATTACGATTCGGTGCACATCGGAGGCTATGATGCTACCAATTGCTACATTGTTATACTTCAAGGACTCTGCAATGAGCACTAGATTTCATTTCTGCATCGTTGTGAATCTCTAATACGTGATCCAATTACATTCGTATTATTTTTCCAAATGAAACCTTTGGATTTCCTCAAATTTCAAGTTTTCAATTTTTTCTGTTAGACTAACAAAAAATGTGAGGCCCGCTGCATTTATTTTTTTTATGTTAAAACTTTGGATGTTTCCTTTTACATTTCGCTCTTTCCGATTCATTTTTACCATAACTGTTTTCATTCAGAGAAATAAATTGGGTCAAACCTCACGTGCTTCGTATTACATAATTGTGCGTGATACAAATTCGATGTTTAAACCGAAACACTGTCATCGTTATTGCACGTGAAAATCCGCGGAAGCGTGACTTGATTACACGATGGTCTTTCCGTGATTAGGGGAGTTTCAATGTTTGGTCAAGGACACTTCAACTGAGATGAATAATTATAGAGTAATTATTGATTACAGTTTCAAGTTCGAAGTGATGTCCATAATCTCGCGCAGACCATTTTTTGCAAACAATCATTTTCCAACAAAAATGGAAATACGTGCCAATTGGTGATGATTTAGACAATTGATTTAACCTTTTAATCATGTACCTCACAGAAGTGGAATTTTTCGTAAGAACATGTTAACGGATAAATTTTGTATATCGAAAAATCAATCACTAAATGGAGATTGAAGGAGAGCTGATGTTTAATTTAAACTATTAATATTGAAAAGGATTTCATTGTAGAGAAGGGATTCCAAAAAAATGCAAAGAAAATTGTTTTAAAAGATTCTGAAATTTTCATTTGGCACTTGACCGATTTCACCTGAAATATTCTTTAATTTAATTTTCACTTTTCTCGATTGTTCAACGAGTAGATAATGCGATTCAAATGGAAAGTCCATTTCCCACCGATTTATTCTTCATTCGGTGGATTTAAATAGAGCATTAGAGTAATTCTCGTAAATCGATCTCAGAACACTTCTGGTTGTGACTAAGTGAAAGGAGATTCAGACGAAAAGTTACCGCTGTAATGATAAAAAATTATCGAAGAATCTCTCCCGCAGGTAATCCTGCCGACTACCTAAAGAAAAATAAAAAAAACCAAGCATCTGCATTTGAATGATAAATTCATGATTCTGCAAGTCACTCGTAAAATGTTCACTCAAGGAAATATAATTTTCCTCCTTGAGCTCTTCAGAATGCACCACAAACGATCCAGAAATTCATCCTTGCTCCCAATATCTGTTACGATTCACCAGGACTATTACATGAAATTGCCAAGGACCAAACCGGTTCTTAGCTCTTATCTCTTAAACATAAAAAAAAACTTGAGTGCCTGATATGAATGAAAACTCGCCACAAAAAGCTACATCTTTAGTTTCCTTGACTGACAATTTTCGTTGACGTAATCTTGACGTAATTTTCGTTTCATCTACACCCACGCTAAAAAAAAAATTATTTGTGCCACGTAAATAGACTTAAACGTTTAATTGAATTTGATTTTCGCGAGCACTTGCTTTGTATTCAGTAAATTTAACCGGGAGAAATAATTTTTTTACTCAATACGCCTCATTGCGATCTCATGGTCATTGATCTTATCCTTCATTTGGTTATTTGAATGCTCAAATTATTCATCTGTGTCAAATAAACATTGTTATGAACCGTGGAATGCCATAACTAGGTCATCATTACTCATAGCGTCATTTCTGGGTGTAATTATATTCCAGTGTATTCATGACCGTCAAAGAGGAATCCGACGAGGAAGACGTATTCGCTGAGAGATGGAGATTCCAAGTCAAATTATTATGGAGTCGACTCAATTTGTAGAACCATTTTGTAGCTTAATTAGTCAAGACTTCAAGGAATTGGGGAGTAGACTCTATTTTCCGGTTGCTAGAGTGAGCTTCATGTCATTAAACGATGGTGGAATTAATTTGAAGAATTAATGATGACTTAATAAAGTTTGTTCAAAGGTCATGGCTTTGACGAGAAGAAAAGGGTGTTCCATTGAAGAAGTCCAAGGTTACAAATGAGAATGAATCGTCAGTCTCGCCTCAGGGCGTGTCGAAGAATTCTGTTTGTATTGAGTTTTTTTCATTGTACTTGATTGATCGTTTTTGACTCATTTTTTCAACTGTCAACAGGAGTTAGTAATTGAATCAGTAAGAGAATGAGCATAAAATTGGGTGTTGGTTTTGTCCTCAAAAATATAATCAAGTAATTACGATGAAAAACATATTTTTATGGTCGAGAAATTTTTTTTTTATTCCGGAAGGAAAAATTTTCTCAGTGATGTAATCGTGAGGTACAATCATCGGGGATTTGCAAATGACTTTTCAAGTGACAGTCATTGGGTATTAATTGCGTGGAAAAGTTGTTAATTTCCTTTTGAAAAATCGAAAAATTTCTGTTGGACAATTCGGTCATTCGGGAAATTTCGGGCTGAGTATTTTATTTTCGAAGTTAGGAATTTGAGACAGAAAAGCGGTAGTGGGAATTGAATTCTTGAAAATTATAAAAACTAATTCAAGTCATTCTACTTTAGTGCCACAAATGACGCCGTCGATTGGAATCAGATAGATGATGATGAATTGACCGTAAATTTCCTGTTATTCAAATCAGATTTTTTGTTTACTTTTCTTCATGATTTCCCAGTGATTACCCATCCAGATATTACTCACTTATACTGCTGCCTAGGATTAAAGAAAGGCAGTTACCATCGATAATAAAATCATGCAATAACCTCATTATATTCTCATGAACATTACATTAGCCATTCATAGATTTTTCAATCGTTCTATAGCAACTGATGTTTGATTGATTTTTGATAGCAACGTGAAGAAATTTTTGAATAACCTTTCAATTTATGAAGTCTATGTTGCCTTGACGCACGCAAGCGACAAATTCAAAAATTAACACAAAAAAAAATTACGAAACTTCAGCGAACTATTGCTCTCTAGTTCCAATCTTTCCAAAACGGAATAATTATGAATTCATAACGGAATAAAAAATTCAATTTGCCATTCAACAATTTCCATGGAGTTGTCATTAGCCTTTCAAAAAAATCGTAACGTAAAAAATAATTCAATACCGCATTTTCTAAACGGGAATATTGATGTGATTTAGCACCTAGTATAGTTCGAGGATTAAAAAAAAAACGAAGCTGTCTTCCAAGCGTAGAAACACCTAATCCACCACGAAAATTAGAAACAGGAAATGAGAAATTTGGATCACTTTAAACTGATGCTGTTAAAACGCATGATGTAAGGAATCCCTCTAAAGATATGAACACCAATTCGTCGTGGATTACAAGATGTGATTTGCGTCATGATGTCTTGCTCCGCATTTAGACGATGTGCTGTCACTTCAATGATCCAACAAATTGCGAGAAACTACTTGTATGTTGAATAAAATAGGGCATCGGCGCAGTTCCAAAGTTTATCTTTTATCGAAATTACAATACAACAACCAATTGAAAACTTAATAACCCGGCGACTACTTAAACACTCAGTAATGACGTACCCTGAGAATTTCACTTTAATGAGTCATTTACGCATTACTGCAATATATAATATCGTTCGGGGGTCATTAATCACGAATCGTTGACACTGATAACTCGGGATTGGTGGGGGAATGTGAGACAAATCTATTAAATTATGTGGAAACCATAATCTTGTAGATACTAGTTTGGTCAGTTCGGAATTAGTTCCACTGACTGAAAACGAAAGACCACAAAAGGAAAACAAACAAAAAACGGTGACAATTATTAATTAAACTAGCAATAGTGCAATTTCCAGTGTTTTTTTGTGTTCGTGGTTGAATCATAATATTTAAGCAAGTTCTACCCCTCAACCTAAACTATAGGTTCTTCAAATTTTTCACAGCGTTTTCACAATTTGTTTAATCACACCCAAAATGCTATAATCGTGCAATAATTGTCTTGTTTTTCAATTTTTTTTAATTCATAAAATTTTGTCATCCTTAATCTTCAATTGTATGTGTTCCAGGCAAAGGGATATTACACGATGGGGTACGGCACGGAAATGAGCGGCTGCGGAAGGTTTATGAAGTACTCCCTATTCTTCGCAAACTTCGTAATCTTCGTAAGTTCCTTGAAATTAAATCAGCACCACTCGACCCGTTCATCTAATCCTGGAGCACGTGACGGTTCTCAAGGCTGTAATAATTTTGATCCAACTTTCATGTGTTTAGTATCACTGCCAAGGTGTCAGTAAATACGTCGGAATATTTATTTATAGTGCATCAGGATTATTTGAAGAGTTATGATGAGGCAGTTGCTAAATGTTTAAATATAAATAACGCCTAATTACTCACGAACGGGACAATCGCGTGGTGGGAATCGGAGGAAGGATTACTTGAAGAGATGTGGAGATTCTTTCGCTTGTAAAGTGATAAAATCATGAATTGATAATTTGGGAAGAATCATATTTCAGAAAATTTTATGCAATCCCTTCTTTTGATATTATAGTTGAAAAATGGCATCTCTATAAAGCGAAAGCGAACCTGTCTGGGCAATCGTTTAATTGTCAGGTGGATGAAAAAATTTCCACTTATAGTTAAACGTTCTTGTCTAACCATTATGTGATTTTTTCTCCTAGATTGGAGGATGTGTGATCGCTGGTCTAGCCGTATGGGCTATGATTGACAAGATACCCTATCTCAGCGATATAGTTGGAAATAATTTATTAACCGGTGCTGTCTACGTACTTCTTGCCGGTGGAATCGTTGTAGCAATCGTTGCCTTCTTCGGTTGCATCGGTGCATCGAGAGAAGTAAAATGCATGCTTCTCACGGTAAGTTCTCATTTACCAATGATGAAAGAAAAAAAAAACAATCGGCATCATTTAAAATAATAGCAAAAACACCTGTCACACACTATCGGTAAATCCGTCTTTTTGTTTTTATACAAAACACATGTATCAATACACTCGAGTAAAATTGTTTTTACATGGGAATTTATGAGATGTGCTTGTCGTGTTGTTTACAGAGAGGGAAGGAGGTGGAGAGAAAAAGCTTGAGGAAATTTTCTCGGGTGCATTGCGCACCCTCGGCGGGTTCTTTTTGCAAAAGAAAATAGTATTGATGAGATTTATTGTGTGACAATGTCATGAGAAATACGTGAAAACCGTATGATAAATATATTGTGATAGATCTATTGGATTGTTTCATTAGTAGTTTTCCTGTTTGTGCTAGAATTTTTTATATGGCAATATAACTGTAAATTTGTGTTATTTCATCCTCTAGGCTAACTCGATATTTAACTCCTGGTTGGGCCGGACTTTTTACCCGAATTAATGTCTCCTAGCTCCAGTTTTTCTGTGGATTATAGTAGTTGCGGGGTTGATGATTTCTTTGAAGATCTTGCAACGAATTTATTTTACTTTTATTTTCAGTACTTTATAATAGTACTCATACTATTTGTGACAATACTCATTGGAGGAGTTCTCGCCTACGTCTTCCGAGGGAAATTACACGGAAAAGTTGAAATGGAGATGAAAAATTCAATGGCACTTTATGATAATAAGCAGTACATGCGTGAGGCTTGGGATGCTACTCAGATTTCGGTGAGTGATTTATCGGAACTACATGATCATTTAAATATGAATGTGATATTTATGTTAGGAGTTTCAAAAACTTATAAATGAGTTTTTCACTCCATCAAAATTAATAGTAATTGAGATTTTTAAAAATCGTCATTATTATTAAATATTGTTTATCTTTCTGTATTTGTAATTTTTTTTTATATTAATGGGAGCTTTATATCGAATAGCTTATACTTTCTACTGAGAGTTTCTGGTAGAAAGTTTTTCATATTTGAACCGTTGGAATATTTTCCACGAAGTCGAAAGAGCATTTGAATGGATAATGCATTCAATATTTTATCTTCTAGCTTCGTTGCTGTGGAACTAAGAGCTTCAGAGACTGGGGAATTATAGGTCTGAGACTGCCACGTTCTTGCTGTCGAGAAGTCAGACCGGGAGAGGTGCGTAATAAATTGATAAGTCCCTTAATCCAAAGCTTTTAGCCCTAATTAAAATTCAATTTTCAATCCTCCAACGATTTAAACTCTTACGAAATGTTGATAACGTCACGTTCTACTATCGTGGAGACGCAGTCGATTTGCTAGCTTTCATAATTATCCAGGAAAGATAAAACGAGTTCGATGGATTGAAAATAAATATTTATAACTGTTTCAGTATTTCCATTGCAATGCAACTCCAGAAACTCCGAATCAATCGAACACGTACACGAATGGATGCCTAACTACTGCTGAAAATAATTTGGAGATGCATACGAAGATTATTGGAGTTGCAGGAATCGCTGTTGCCATTCTGATGGTAAGAATCGAATAATCTATATTTTTTTCAGAATTTTCCAAAAATGGAAAAGCTTTTAATTTTGTAATTGTAGGGAAAGCTCTCTTTAAATTAGATTTTTACCGATCATATCACCTGTCTATCTCTTATCACTTTTTCTATAAGAAATTCCCATTGATATTTCTGTAGAAATTGATTTTGGTAGAATTTCAAAGGCGAAAGCTTTCTTCAGTTTTTTTCTCGAAATTCACAATTCCGAGAACAACTCACGTGTGATTATTGGAAATGTAGATTTGTATTGAAATTAATATCCTTTTTTCAGCTATTCGGCTTGATCTTCTCCTGCGCTCTTTTCCGGAAAATAGAATGACTGAGAGAGTTTCGCGTTCTTTGAAGGGCATTCGAGAACATTTTTAGGGCGTTAAGAAATAAGAATCTCAGATGAGAAAATGAAATCTGAAATCGTTTTGCACTATTTATAACTCCATTTCAATTCATTCATAACTCGTAATTGAAAAATCATAATGATCGCATCAATCAATAGATATCCGATTAGAAATCTGCGCAGTGCGGGCCATAAAATTGTTTCATACGTTTGACATTATCATAAGTTGTTTAACTATTCGAGGTCTACAAAGATGATATTATTTTTTTGTATGTTATAACCATTAGATTTCTTTCATTGTAGCTAAGCTGTAGTCAATTTTTTAACTATTCGGTGCATAAAATTAAGATTAAGAATTGATCAGATTGGCCAGATCGATCCGAAAAAATATACGGATTTTTAATTTAATCATTGTTCAATGATTCAGAAATTCTAACCACTGCCTCTGAATTCCTCGTAGAGAAATAGTCGTAGGGCAATGAGAGTCCGTGAACCATTGAATGAGTTCATTTTTTCGTGTCGATCTGGTCAACACTTTGCTAAAAACATGAAAAATGGTGGAATGCCAAAAAAACACATCTCTCTCAGTCTCTTCTCTTGGAACAACTGAAATGAAAGCCTTTGTCGGAAGAAAAGTCGCCCTTTTTTTTTATAAAAACGTTTGGCGGTGTTCTGGAAGACGACCTACGGGTGATTGGGCAGTGTCTGCAATTTCCCTCGAGGGAGTTATCCCCAGTCACCAAGTGGTAACCGTGTGTGTGCTAGTGGTGCGCCTGTCTGGGGCTGTGGTCCAAAGTCGATATTGCAGTCCGGGAAATGCTTGAGAAATAAGAGAAATAAAAAATTGTGCACACTCCAACTATCCAATTATTTGCCATCCTTTCCGATATCGAAATAACTTTCATTTTTAGAATTTGTAACTCTAGCACTCGTCAAATTTATTCTTCCACGTGAAGAGTAAAAATATTCAGCGAAGTCATATTTACAATATTCTACGTTATTTCATGCAACAATAACTCCGCTAATGATTGTTTATATTAAAATGTATATTTGGGAGAGAAAAATTTTCTGGTTGGATTAATCTAGCATAGGGCTGCCAGATCGATCCAATCCAATCCAATACCACTGAAGCTTCAAGATGTATCAGCTATTTTCTCTCCTGCAGAAAGAACTTGTGCCGAAAAATGTGATAACTTTTAAGAAATCTAGTGATATTACGTGCTTGTTATTTTTAAATCTCTGTTCTTCCGCATGTTTGAGCTTTAATCGAAGTTCTTATTAATTTTCTGAGGAGAAGAAGGCGGTTTTTCATTTTACTTGACAAGAACTCCGAAACTTCTTTTCCTTCTTCTTTGTCCTTCAACTTTGACAAGACCTTCTAAAACTTTCATATCGTTCATAATAAGTAATTGGAAATTCATGGGGGATGTTCTACTGAATTCGGCCAAGGGAAAATCCTTGCTCAAGTAATTGAGAAATAATTGTCATAATAATTGGCTAATATATGTTTTTACTTATATTTTTATATTTTGTCCGCAATTTTCGTTTCAACTTCAGAATTTGCGCAGAGAACTGAAGAGATCATTACGAATTCGAGTTTAACTTTGAAATTCGTCTATTAAGTTTCTTCTTCGTCTCTTATTTTTCACTTGGTACCCGAAAAGATTATAGAAACTTTTCCCTGATCTCCGCTGGTCTCATTTCAATTCACCGAGATCTTCAAGCTTCTACAATATTCCACCGTAATTATCAATGAATAATTCAAAAGAAAAATTGCATTGACTCGTTCAGAAAAATTTCCGTCTAGCCCAAATAATTCAGTACTCATCATAATGAGAGTTCGAGTATGAGACCAGAGTGTATTTACTGATCGAATCACTTATCCCCGAACTTCACCACATTTCACTGAGAGTTTGCATCTAACCCCAAGAACTCGGATATACAGAGAAACCAAAGTATTGATTTACCAACATCTAAAATTCCAGAATACTTCTCTCGAATTTTGTCAGCGTTTCAGATCTCCATCCCTCATCATTTACCCTCTCAAATCCTGATTTTCTATGAATTTCCAACCCCAATTGGATTCCTGTGGTTCAAGCGCCAATGAGCCACGAATATCGGAATAACTTGGACTAATATTGGCCCATAATTTCCTAATGTTTTCCCGATAGCATCGATTAACCCCGGAAGCCCCTCTCCACTTCCCGTCTTAATTAATTGCATAATTTGAAAGGAGACAAAACGGAATTGCCATTCCCGTGATTGATTGAATAGTGATTAGGGTAGCAAACACCTACAATTTCAACATCAGTGGGAACATTAATTAATTGCTTGAGTACAAAATTAAGTAATTGTACTAGCTTTTCGGATATCCAGTTTATCAGACGAATTAGAAAATCAAACGCAAATATGAGGTAGAAGAACCGAGTGCGTTGGAAACTAATACTAAAATTAATTTCCACTTAATTTTACGTTAATTCATTTTCTTTTGCATATTTCAATATTAAATTTGATTTCAAGTGATATCAATGGATACAGTGGATATCAGTTCAATGAGTCAATATGGGAAAAGTTCGGGAAAATGGAAAAAAAAATTGGAGCGAATAGAAAACTGAAAGGAAAAAGATAAAATTCGGAAAAATGGAAACCCCAGAATTCATGTGCAGTCGAGTGCACCGTTCACTTTGCAGGAGGAAAACAGCGAGAAAAAGATCTCGGTTGAGCAGGTCGGAAGAAACGTCTCTGTACTCAGAAAGTAGAGCATTCTGTAATGGTGAAGTACATAGAGAAGTTCCGGCCTACGAGAGATAGGAATACGAGAAATGGAGTCGTCTACTCACATATATAATAACTACAATGATGAAGAAAATGTGGTTAAATACTCTAGTATCTAGAGAAACATAATGTCTAGTGGATAAAAATAGAAAGGAAATGAATGGAAAATAAAAATTAATTGAAATGAATAAAGTTGGGACGAATGGTATCATTTCCTTGTCGACTTACACATACTTGTATATAATTCGCTTTCCACAATATCTCAGTATTTACATGTGCTCCTTATTTGAAAATTTTTTACTAATGTCATTAAAAAAATAACACCAATTATTTTCCAATTTTTTTTTCCATTCACTTCCTCCGGGTTAACTTTAGACGTATTGTATGGAAAAAAAAATAGAATCAAGCCGAAGCTGCATTCCAGTAAAAAAATGTTTACTTCTCATTGATTCTGTCCATTCTGTTATTATTCTCAACGAGATTATCATTTTGAAAAACACACGTTCCTATTTATTAGAATTGCCATTGCCATCAGCTTGAAAAATCACAGCATCTCCTGCAACTCTCCCCATAAATCAGAAACGTCCCCGACAATTCCATCTCAACTTGATTTCAAAGTAACAACCATCAAAAATGATATACGACCACCAATGAAATTCCATAAAATTTCCATTAGCACAATGGACGGTAAAAAGTTGTTATTTCAAGGTAAAATGAGAAAGGACATGAAACTCAATAACGGAAGGATCACTCACTCAGTGAATCAGGAATAGGGCGTGGATTGTTGATGAGTCAACCTTGAAGTGAGGATCGACTTCACCCTCACGATGTAAAATCAAACATTACACTTGCATCAATCAAATTTTCGACGAGTATGAAAAATCCCAAGTAAACTGCATGAAAATTATCGCAATCCATGGACAAAAATCTATCTTTCGAATATATTCTTTATAAATTAAAAAATTAACCGAATCAACTGAATATAAAATTATAGATTTATCCATTAAATATTCCTTGATGAGGAATCCTTTTTCCCCTTTGATCGAAAGAAATATAAATTTTTGCAGAATTAGATTCCTCCAACTGAGCAATATCCAGAAGCTCACCGTTAGGATTCACTGATGACCATCAGATTTCTCTAGACGATGATTGCATTCATTATGACGTTAAATTAACTGTTTCTCCTGCGAGAATCCGACACTCGAAAAGAATAAATCGTAATCAACGGAGTCTGGGCAAGATGATGTTTGACCTGGCCATCATCTAGTCATGAGATCGTTACTACTGAAGCCCAATGCAAATCATTTGGAAATACCTCAACCGAAGTAATTGGATTTTTAAAAAATGCATTCCCCTAGCTACTAGTACTGTCATAAAGTCTATTCCAGTTGTAGCAATTACCGAATTATTCTTGATCATGAAACCATGAGATATGCTGATAATTGTTAAACATCTTTAGAGAATATTTGTTACAATATTGTATGAAACACCTGGGGAAAAAAGGCAGAAGGAAGTACTGAGAGTGGAAAAAAATACAGAAACAATGGTTTCTCGTGGAGAATGGAGTGCCCCAAAGCTCAACTCTGTAGCAGTTTACCTGAAGCACACACGACTTTCCAATAATTCATTCTTCACTCTGAAAGCATTGTATCGATGTACCGTTGGCAAAATGAACGATCAGTATATACCACATTATTATAGTTCCGGTCTGTGAAGTATCAAGAGTGAAGAATGACAGAAGGTGGAAAGCTGAGGGGTAGGGTAGAAAGGCACAGGTGAAACATCAACAGAGCACCAGGGGAAATACTCCTGGCACTACCAGAAGCCTCTGGGTGATTCTAGAGTAACCAGAGATACTCCGTGTTTCGCGGAACTTTGAGTTGCTTCAGAATTTATCGGTGTTTTCGAGTAGTTCGCTCAGGGACTACTATTTAGGTTAATTTACGTATCATTTGCAATTAGAGTTCTATTGAAAGACGCGTCTGTTAATTTCGAAAATAGTTTATCGAACTAACTTAGCAACAATCTTCTATGAATAAACGATTAGCTAGATATCCACCGGAGTGGAAATTCACTGAAGTGATTCCTCGTTATATAAATGCTCTAAATGTTTTGAAATTCGATTCAATTTTCACTATTGGGTAATTTGATATGTATTGAATCGGGAAAAATGCATTTGCCACTCAGAGGAAAAATCAAAACAAAAAATCAAATCAAAAAATCAAATGAGAATTAATTTGATTATTTTTTTAACACATCGATGAAAAAATGGGCGTGTTTAATTTTTTTTCCAGGAGCCTCCATAATTCGCGCGATGAAGAACCCTCAAAAAAGACTTCAGTCGGCCAGTTGAACGATGAAGTGAAGAAAAAACTATCTTAATGAATTCCAAAACACGTAGTCATCCCCTAGCTCTCCCTCTCATGAGTCGACCCCTCGCGCCTGGCCATTCACCCCTCAAGATGAAAAAAATAAATAAAAGTCAAGTGGAGAATGGGAAACAACATAGAGAAATTAAGTGCGCAGGGTAAAATGAAAACCCGAAATAATTTCTCTGAGCATTTTCAACGTTCAATTTCAATAAAAAACACTTTTGCCAGAACTAATTAGTGAATCAATATTTTGAGAAGTATTTTTGATTTTATAGTCACGATTGATTCAATGAATCCGATAACGTGACAGATCGTTTTTTCAAATGACGTTGGTGATGGTTGGACCCATTGGGACTTTGGTGTGCACCCTGTTCTTGAAAATTAGAGACTCTTTTTTTTTCGAAAAAAAAAATAAGTAAATGAAAGAAATCGCCACCTGGTAACCCTGAGGGAGAATGCACGTAGAACAGAGGGGCAAAATGACGTTATTCTCCCCACCATCGTAGCAACACGAACCCACCACTATTCCCCGAAAGAGTGAAGAGTGGTGAAGAGACGGGCCAGTAGCAAGAGTATACGACGAACCGGCATCACCGCTCACGAGTACGAGACTACGAGTGCGCATTGTACCGAGTCCCCGGTACTCAGTACTCAGTCGTCCCAACGCTCCGAGTTCGCCCGGTTCACAGGTGCACTTGATCCCCATATCCCCAACTGATAAATCCAAAAACAACCAATGGATATGATTTATAATTTTTTTCATTTATCGCGTTGATAACAGACACCCACCCACCAAATAATCAGCTGTGAAGTTTAAGTGATAATTTTATGGTGTGAGTCGAGTGAGGGGTTGGGACACGTTGAGTACGTGTGGATCAAGTATAAGTCCGTATGGAATCACCCCATGGATAATAGTATGTCTACAGCGGCTTTTATGCACCGGTGAGTTATTTGATTAATAACAAATTCATTGAGTTTGTTCTCTTTATCGATTAATTGTCCCGTTTTTGTGCGGTGACATCGAGTGATTCGGGGCAACATGTTCTGGAGATAATTGCGGAACTTGAGGCTTTTTTGATGGATGTGGGGGTGGCTTTTTCGGGCTAATTAGGTGGACAACGAATTTATGCAGCTGACGGGCATTGTTGAGAGACTATGGCAATTTGAGATCGATAACGGATAAAGTGGAGACAGTGGAGGCAATGGGGCGTTTCGATGGGGTTCTGTATTCCATGGGTGCACCACCCTAGTAATGGCGTAGAGGAATGATGTTCTTTGGGTTTTAGCTTTTTTTTATTAGATGTTGGTGACGGTTGGAGCAAGGTTGAGTGAGGAAATCTGGTATTCGATATCGGATATTTGATTTTCAGGCCTCCCTGTGGAGACTATTGAACTTCCTGGTGTCGACGAGTAACTGTACTGCCCACAAATCAAATTAGATAATAAAGGATTGGTTGGAACTAATCCAGAGGATTTATCGGCCGGATTTTTGTGGGTTATACTTGAAAATGGATTTAGATTCAATCAAAAATCGCCGGTGCGCATATAAATTGATTTGTTCTAACTGAAAGGCGAAGGTACACTCTTCAATTTTTATTTTTCGTTGTCCCTGTTGAATACTGGAAATTATTTCCGCGTTACAATCCCGAAAATTTTTAATAATTCTCAAATGAAGAATAAAGAATTAATATTTTCAAACCATTAATCAATGCTCGTTCGATAATTGAGTAATGATTAGTGTCAATGGTTGATTCTGAATTTCAAGTGCAACCACAAAAAAAATAATATCAAGACTAGTTAAGTGACACTGATATCGGAGAAACCCAGAGCCATGACTTCGAGTAACTCGTATCCTTCCGTTACCTTGCCAATATGCACATCTCGTTAAGCTCCAATACCTCAACCATAAATTCCAGAGTAATTGTATGTACCCCGAAACCCAATGCTCATTGCACGGTACGAGACTAATCTCGAATAAGTGTAACGTCCCACAAATGCGTGCAAGCGAATCGACTAGTTGGCAGCTGATACTACAAGTATTATCTATTTTTTATTATTCTAATGATTATTAATAGTCTATAATCTCGAACTTTCGAGCGCGATCTCGCAAAAGAAAAACGGCTAGTGAGCGTGAATCTATAAATCCTATATAGACATTCAAAATAAACTGGAGCTGATACGGAATTTTGTATTCGAATCGTTCTGGAAGCTTCTTTAGATTCGAAATGGCAACAAAACATTCTTACACTTGAGGAAACGGCTACCAAATGAAAACAACACATTCTTTTTGGTTTGGGCCACCCCATATTTTCGAATGATCTTATTTCACTAGAGTGAGACAAATTGGTTTTTATATTGACGAAATAAATCTCTGAAAGGGCCAAGTGACGATTTCATTTCCTAATCTAAATTTTCGATGGTTGAACTGGATGGTTCTTTCGTTGTTGATTATTTTCAATTGAACCTCTCCTGAAATAATTCATAAACAATAAATTTATGGTTCTAGCACGTAGAACGGAAGAATAATATCGGAAAAACTTCGAATGTTGTAAAATTTCTGAAGGACGCACATGTATGATTTAAAAAAAAATCATATTCGCAGTTTAACGGAAACAGCTCAGTCAGTACGAAACTTTGTGTAGCAGGTGCATTACCTAAACTCAAACCTCCACTCGAAACTCTGCAAGTGCTCCTATTGAAAATGTCATCATTCAAAATTGGAGCTATTTCCCGAAGTGGAATATTTTCCATGTCTACATGTAAATCTGAAGTATGACGTTTTGCATTCTGCCCAGGATCTATACATTTTCAATATCATACCCTCAGCAGAAAAATTGAAAACAGCCGCTATTGCCTCCTAGACCACTGATATTTCCTCAACCCACATAATCAACAAAAATCCTTTTTCCGAATTATTTTTCTCAGATCAAAAAAATCCAATTACCTCCCCGCTGCAACGCAATTAAAAATGGATTCTCCCGTCCCTCCGAAGGCTCATGAAAATTGTTCACTCCGCATTGAACGAGCGATTCATTTGTTCAATGTGAAATAAAATATTTTCAACATGAAACATTTTTTTTTCTTCCATTATTCGCGAGAACAATGCGACCACCGGTGCATCAATACATTATCCCCTCGGTTACGCGTGTCCGGTCAAACATAATAATTACACATAACCCACGCTCATACTCTACAGTTGGTAGAGAGTAAGAAGGGGAAAAAAAAGGAGTTGGAGCCGTCATTTCTTCTTTCGGAATCCCTCTCGGAGTGTCGAAGGATCAAGGGTCTTCCTTACGTCAGTCTTCCTGCGTCTTCTCGCCATCTGGTTTGCCCAATGGGCAAAGAGTGCAGAGGGTAAAATAAGAGAGTAAAAGAGAGAGAGAGAGGAGACAGGTGGAATAATCCATATGGCGAATACCAAGAGAAGTGTACACTGGTGTACCGAGCTGCTGGCGGCAAAGTATCTTCTCATTTTATTTTTACTCTTTATCTTTACCGAGGTTGAATAGCCATACATGGAAGGTCGAGGGAGAATTTAATGAAAAGCTCAGACAGAAAACGTCGGGAATTCTCTTTTTATCATTCTTCATGAGAAAAAAAACAATTCCTAGGGCTGCGCATGGAACCTCATGCTAATTAATCGCTGGGCCATTATTCCATCAATAAAAATCGTTTGAAAATGATGGGAACTGCGTTGAGATAGGTGGACGGGGTGGGCCTTTATTGATTGTTGAATTGTTTCTAAGCATCTCTGGCCTTTATTTTTCTCCATTCCGTTTTGTTAGGTTCTTTCGGTTTTAGTTGAGAGTCGAGAGCAACTCTCGAGGCGGTGTCGAATCAAACCGGTCCGCTTTCCTTGAACCTGGTGCGCCGCAGCCATTGACCGCCGTTGAGAGAGACTTCTTTTCATTCCGCGTGTATATCTTTTCGCGGATATGCGATAGAATAGGAAGCCGGCAATGTGGGGGTATAACTCCGGTGTCGAGTGTCGACACCGGGTTTCGTTATCGTCGCCCTGTGGTGGAGGGAATTATTTTTGATAAGGTCAGACATTGATGAAGAGAAGAATTTCGGTGGGAACGCTTTGGAAATCCATGCGGAAAAAAATTTCATCGTTTGAATTCCTCTCGCGGATATATATAATGGGCGAATAGTCAATCGGACTGAGAGATTGCTGTGACGCATTACGCAACGTGTGTGGTAATGAAAATTTATACCGCACGTGTTTCGTACGGAGTTTTACGTTGCAATGTGTGGAAAAAACGAAAAATACACGCGTCAGCGAAATCAGCAGGCAATATTATTTTAAGCAGGTAAAATTCCAGGGGAATTAAAATTGGATTTTTTAAGATAAAATTACGTTTTTGGGCAATTAATGGAAATTGACGGAAAAAACGGATTTGCAATAGTGGATACTATTTCGGTTAGGAGGTGTTCTTCGGAGAATTTTCGGCTGATGTCTTAGCGAATCACATCATGTCTCTAATCTGGGGTTCACGAACTTTCGTCTCTGGGCGGATCAATATTTGGCGACGGTGAAAATCAACGGTGCGTTTAATCGATGTGAACGCGAAAGAGGGGAGAAAAATGGTTTTGTTTTGAGTGGTCAGTGTTGAAAATTTACAGCATGAATTTTCGATGTGAAAGAACAGGAAAATCGCTCTAAAATTGATGGGGGGAGATACCGAGAGAATTTAAAAAAAATTTGCGTAGAGTTAACTCTGTGAAAATCTCGGAAATGGAGAAGTTTACGAGTATTTGTCTGCAGATGGAATACTTGTAAATCTCTTTACGTCGAAGATATTTCCACACTTCTACGTTTGAATTTTTATACGTGTCTTTTCAGCACTTATTGATTTTTTTCCCTTCGATTCGCCATTCTCCTCGTGATTTGTCGGGCCTTAAGTTCAGATAACAGTTCGTCCTCATAAAACTGCAATTCTTAATGAGTTTGTAGAGCATCTGTAAATGTTTATATCGCGTGCAGAATTCCGTACTGGATAAACAATTTCATTTCCGTGTGTTTTTCCGCGTCTGCTGTTGAAACTTTCATGGATTTGACTCACGTTTCTTACTCGCTATACCGAGGGGATATGACTTACCCCCTCGCTATCAGTCGTAATCAAATAGACTTGGAAAATCAATATTTCGTCCTGTGAACATTAAACGACTTACGAATCCCGAGGAATTTAATGTTACAATAATAAATGATCCACGCTTGGAAAAATCCGTTGAATTATAAAATCTGACAGCCAAATTGCAGAGTCCAAATTCGCAATCCTGACAAAAAACAAAATGCAAAATTTGTGTCTGTCTAATACAATGTCCTTAACATCCTCAATTTGCAAAGTAATATATCAGCGGATGAGAAAACACTTAAATTGATTCTTCGGGGAAATTGCAAATGAAGAAAGTTAATATTGGCGAGAATTTTCACGCTGGGTACACGGCTATATACACGGCTATGTACACGCCTCAAATATTTTGTTTTCCCAGTACTTTTTGCACTTATTTCCCTCGACGTTCGGCGATGTCAATCGATTCACACGTTTCCCTGTGTCTGGTGTATCCGTGACAACGGCCCTCTGCGAATAGAGCGCACAGACCAGACGAAGTGAAACTCCTGAATAGGAAATTCTTTCCTACGTCTCTAACCCGGCCATCTACGGTGGTCTTTATACGGTTCAGAGAAAAAATTACAGTACTATTTCAATTAGAAATAAACAGTCCCTTTTTTTCGCACATTTAAAGACAATATGATGCTTCAAGATTAATGCCATGAAAATTATTCTAATGAAAAATCAAACTTAAAACGAATATTAATCGCGAGAGAGATGATGCGGCAAAAAATTTTTTGTCATTTTTTCATTGTCAGGTTTTTTGCCCGAACCGGAAAACTTGAAGAATTCGCTTAGTTCAATGAAAAAATGGCTGTTACTTGC